CAAGGAGTTTATACTGGGAAATGAGAGACTCCTAGACTTTCAACACCATTTAATCCTGTCAGTTTGGTTACCAACTATCTGATCAGATGTTACAGTTAAAGTATTGTCTCAAAATATGACTACGAGACTTGGAATTATATGCCAAACCATTATTTCTTAGATATACTTTGTCCTCTGCAAACTTCATCATCAGAATCCCTGGGATTGCTTTTTTAAAATATGGATTCCTGTACCTCACTCACCCCGGACTATAAAATCAGCACCTTGCACAGGTTTTCAAATCTCAACACTAACTTTTGGGAACCAGTATACCCCGCAGATCAAACCACATAATTTCAGTTTTTAAGAAAATGTGACCAACTCCATAACACCTGCACCGAATAAACTCTAACCTGTTTAGAAGATTTTCAAGACACTTTATAAGCTTACCCTCCAGAAGCTTTCCCTATGCAAACAGCTCAAAGGACTATGAAGTATTCATTATGGCCCCAAAGAGTTGCGGGCATCCATGCCTCTGTGTCATCTCTTAGGTGACTCATTCAGCTCAGAACGTCCTTCCTTTTCTGACAAACTAGACATTTAAACCTGATTGAAATGCCTGCCCCTCCGTGGAGCCTTTTTCAAATCCATCCTCTCCACTTTATGCATACCTATATTTTAGCCCATATTATAATTATCATAATTATTTGCCTCTTTTTCTACTTATTTCCTGGTCCTTGAAAGCTCCTTGAGGGTAGGGCACTTACTTATTCATCTTTTTATCATCCATTCATGAATAGGGACTGATTTAGTATAGACTTCCTATAAGGATTCCACTTCTTTCTGAATGATAGGGTCATGAAAAAGATACTATTCTCTCACTCTTTCCCCAGTAAAAGAAATTTTAAGAGGTCAAGACTGCCATTTTTTTTAAAGGACTAAAAGGAGAATCCAGGGATATAACTGCATTGCCTTTAGCTAGAGGCAGTTTGAGGATATAATCTTTTATGGTTGCTAATGACTTCATGTTTTGTTACTCTTCAACTATCCTGGCATATTACTTGCAGAAAGCAGTCCAGAGGTACATATTAAATGCCATCTCTGCTGTCAGGTAGTCCCACAAACAAGCAAAACTTCCAGCATGAATTTAAGACTCTTAAAAATATCAAAGTGGTTCAGGGACTCTAGTTCCTTAAAAAAAAAAAATGCAGAAGCTACATTTTTAATAACTTCTGCTGGACAAGCATAAAAGATGAATTTAGTCATATTTGCTAACTACGGTGATGAATAATGCGTTGTCAAACCTGAGGTGATTGTGAATTAAAATAATGCTGATGTGCAGTAATCAGCTCTTACTTTAAAAGATTAAAATGGTTGCTAAAGTGAACAGAAATATTTGTTTAAAATTGTGTTTTATTTTATATTTCCCCTCTTTGAGTGAGAGTGACAAGAGATAGGAATATTAATTTAAATAACTATGCTATCACTAAGCTGAATGGAAATGTCAGATTCTTATTTTTAAGTGGCCTATTTCCTCACATAGTTTTAAAAGAATCATTGCGATAAATAATGGAAGAGAATCATGTAGCCAATTGAGACTTGGAAATAGGCAAATGTGGACAACACTGACCAAGTTTCAGTACCCCAAAACATTTTTTCCATTTACATAGGCTAGTATCTATCTCTTCTTTCTGTTGTCCTCATTTTAAAAACATACTACGAGAGAAGTGGTTTATAAAATTAATTCACAGTAAAATAGTGTGAATATATGGTCTTTTTTCCTCTTGAAATCAGCTGTCCTGAGACACTGCACCCCTGAGAATAGAAGAGAGAAAGTTCTCAGTAAGATATTGGGCCATCGTTAAAGCTTTTTCCTTTCTGTAGAGGACACTCAAGGGATCTTTCATGGGCCATACTTATCCTCTCCACTGAAATGCTCTGGGCTGATCTCACATAGATAAATCACTGTATAAGGAATGGAGTGGATTTCTAAGCCACCAGGCATTACATAGGAAATGGTCCAACTCAACCCGGCCGCATCCAGCTCTTCTTGCCTGAGTAAGAGGACTGTTAAAAATTTAGCTTTGTTGGCATCTTTCCTCAAACCCCATAGAAGGTGAACATTAGAGAGTAATAAAAATCCTTTTCTCTTAAAATAATGTTGAATTAATTTTAAACTCTATTAGAGAAGTCACCGTGTCTATTTTGATACTTAACATAGTTCCTAACACACAGATGCAGAAGTAACTGAAAAAAGTACTTTTGGATAAAATAGATGGAAAGATGGTAGGGAAGAGAGTCTAGTTTTTTTGTTTTGTTTTGTTTTCGTTTTTTTTTTTTCCTATTCTCAATAGGTAATTAAAAAAGAAACCCCTTATCGAACTCCTCATTTTTTGACACTTGGTTCCTCAGAAATGTTGGAAACAAAAATCTAAAAACATATTTTAAAGCGCATTAAACTAACTCAGTTGTCTACAGGAATCAAATTAAGGTAGCAGACGTGAAAGTATGGCAAATATGTTAATTCAGGAATATCTCCAGTCAGATTTGGTCCGATATTTTGATGCTTACTAAGTTGCAACAACTCAGTGAAAATAGTGTTTTCCCAAGGGCCATATATGGCAGAGTTTTGAAAACTAAAGCTGAACTAAATGTACTGGCAGTTTCCATAGAGTCAAAGACAGTCAAATGAAGGGCAGGCCAGAATGAGCAACCATTTGTGGAAGCGCATTGAGGTCATCGTTCCTCCCGCATGTGTGTAGTAATAGAATTCTGAAAGGTGTGCACCAAGTGCTCCTCCTCCTCTTGGTTTCCAAAAGGGTTGAAGGGAATATAAGACTGAGTAAAATCCCAGAAGAGAGGCAGTTGTTAGCTTTCTTTTATAGCAGTAATAGATATTTTTGTGTAAATCTAAATAAAAAAATGGAAATCTCCAAACAAAATTTCCTATCAACATGTGCATAGTGAAGGTTAAATTATTTAAACTTTGGGTGTGTGGGAGTAGATTATTTGTTTCCAACTAGGTGGGTCTTGCCATGATACTTTGAACCATAACCCAAATTTCTAGTAATATTCCTTTTTATATTGGATCTAGGCATGGGTCTTTGGGTGGTAAATCAAAACTGCAAGAATAAGAAGGTAGAAAATATGTAATCTAATAAAAATGGAACACTGAGTATATTAAAATGTCCAATGTTACTTAGCTTCCCTCATAGCTCCCCCCATAGCTACCGAGAGTGCTCTGGTCACAGTAAATACAGCTAAATATTTCACTGGCCACTAACACAATTAAAGAAGTCATAGATTAAATAGTAGATCATCTTCTGCTTCAGATATCTTTAATTAACAGAACACTTAATAGATCGATTTAAAAGATTTTTAACACATCTAAAGAAATATATTAACCTTAGCTACTTTCTCATAAAAAGTTTGTATTCAGAGTTTTCACTGCTTCCCATTTTTTTCTCACAGCCCTTTCTAATTTCCGCTGGTATAAATCAAATTAGATTTATTAGCATCATACAAAAGAGCTCCAGTAGGTTTTTAATAACAATTATCATTATCACTGATTAAAGTTATATTGTTCAGGCCAGATGGAGTCCTTTTCCTGTCAGCTACAATGAGCTTGCATTATGTGGTTATAATGTGTTTGGATCTAAATAAACAGATGGCGGAATGACAGGATATTATACGCTGGTGATGTCAGCAACAGGGCTTCACAAACAGAATTCCTTTAAATAAACTCTGTTGTGGCAAGGATCCTGATACTTTTAAGAAGGTGACTGGAATTGAACCTATCTGTTACATTAACTTGGAAATGGTACTGTTCATTGCAGAAGGGTAGACCATTTGGATGGTCTGAGGTTCAGCCTGAGAAAGTGTCTGCTGAATCTGCTCCTTAAATATGAAAGCATTTAGCATAACAAGTTCACTCAGGCAGTCTCTTAAGAAGAGAGAGAAAGAAACAAAACAAAACAAAACAAAACAAAACAAAAACTGCTCAAGTTGTAAGATCCTTTAAGCTGAAGAGCTGAAACCTGAGTCAAGGAAAGAGGGAAACATTTGATATAAAGCTCTTTCATAATTTTTATAATGTAGTTTATTACATCAGAATACACATCTTGTATAATTGTATATACCCACTCACAATGAATATTAGAAAATTATCAGAGAAGGTTTAATAAGAATTACGTTATAGGAATGCTTTAGTCTTCAATAGATTTTCATGTGTACTTTTTATTCTAAAAATAAGCACTTCTAAACCCTATACCCACAATTAGAGTGAACCTTCTATGAAATTGAGAAGCAACCTTCAAAGAAAGTCATTATACATGACTTCTCCTAGCTAATATTCTTTTGCTGAGTCCTTAGGAGAATTTCTTTGTGGGACAAAGAAATTTGCTCAGACAAATACATAGAGGAGCAAACTCCTTAAGAGGAATATAGAGCTACAGGAGATAAAGGCTTGCATTTGAAAATGAAGGGAGTATAAAAAAAAAATTTAGAAGAGGGTATCAAATAATTGAAATTAAACTTTCTAAAAAGTTTATGTTTTAAATGCTTGAAACTTTTTTTAAAGATTTGTTTGAGAGAGAGAGAGCACAAGTACAGGGGTGGGGGGTGGGCAGAGAAAGAATCTCAAGCAGACTCTCCGCTGATTGCAGAGCCTGATCCTGGGCTCTGTGTGGGGCTCCAGGGCTCGATCTCATAACCCTGAGTTTATGACCTGAGTCAAATCAAGAGTTGGATGCTTAACAGCCTAGGCCACCCAGGTGCTTCTAAATGCTCGAAACTTCTTATAAAATGATGAAAGGATTTTGAGTATCAGGAGATTGTATTTCAGCTTCTTATGCATTTGACATTCAAGTTTTGCTACTCAAGTGGGCATTTTATGAGCTATGTTTCAACTATAGTATAACATAAAAATCCCCATAAAGAAGCAAGAATATTTTCATTGAAGAGTTACCCCTAGTCAAAGAGTGAAAGATTATAATGGACATATGCTTTTTCTTTTTCTACAGGTGGACGTTGTCATAAGTCCTGTACTGGCCGATGCTGGGGACCCACAGAAAATCATTGCCAGACCTGTAAGTGTTCAACACTGAGAAGGCATAGAGGCTTGAAATGGTGAAGGAATCTTAATAATCAATGGTTTTCACACTTCTGGGTCATCAGAAATATGAAAATGAGCTTTTACTTCTTTGTGGTGGATTTGCTTCTATTCAAGTAAACTGCCTAATTTCATAGCTTTCAAATGAAACATAATGTATAATTATTTCTTATATTTCTTTCTGGTTTCCAGGTTAATGCTATCAACAAAACAGATGTGCTGATTTTTTTAAACTTTCTTTTACTAATATATAATGTATTATTTGCCCCAGGGGTACAGGTCTGTGAATCATCAGGCTTACACATTTCACAGCACTCATCATAGCACATACCCTCCCTGGTGTTCATAACCCAGCCATCCTATCCCTATCCTCCCACACCCCAGCAGCCCTGTTTGTTTCATGAATGTAAGAGTCTCTTATGGTTTGTCTCCCTCTGGATCCCATTTTGTTTCATTATTTCCCTCCCTACCCTAAATGACCCCCCACCCTGCCTCTCAAATTCCTCATATCAGAGATACCATATGATAATTGTCTTTCTCTGACTGACTTATTTTGCTTAGCATAATACCATCTAGTTCCATCCATGTCATTGCAAATGGCAAGATTTTGGGGGTTTTGATGTCAACATAGTAATCCATTGTATGTATATACCACCTCTTTATCCATTCATCTGTTGATGGACATCTAGGTTCTTTTCATAGTTTGGCTATTGTGGACATTGCTGCTATAAACATTGGGGTGCACGTACCCCTTTGGATCACTACATTTGTTTCTTTAGGGTAAATACCCAGTAGTGCAATTGCTGGGTTATGGGGAATCTCTATATTAAACTTTTTGAGAAACATCCATACTGTTTTCCAGAGTGGCTGCACCAGCTTGCATTCCCACCAACAGTGTAGGAGGGTTCCCCTTTCTCTGTATCCTCACCAACACATCTGTTGTTTCTTGACTTGTTAATTTTAGCCATTATGACTGGTGTGAGGTGGTATCTCACTGTAGTTTTGATTTGTATTTCTCTGATGCCAACTGATGTGGAGCACTTTTTCATGTGTCTGTTGGCCGTTTGGATGTCTTCTCTGCAGAAATGTCTGTTCATACCATCTGCCCATTTCTTGATTGGATTATTTGTTGTTTGGGTGTTGAGTTTGGTAAGTTCTTTATAGAATGTGGATACTAGCCCTTTATCTGATATGCCATTTGAGAATATCTTCTCCCATTCTGTCAGTTGTTTTTCGGTTATGTTGACTGTTTCTTTTGGTATGCAAAAGTTTTGATCTTGATGAAGTCCCAATAGTTCATTTTTGCCCTTGCTTCCCTTGCCTTTGACAATGTTTCTGGGAAGAAGTTGCTGTGGCTGAGGTCAAAGAGGTTGCTGCCTCTGTTCTCCTCAAGGATTTTGATGGATTCCTTTCTCACATTGAGGTCTTTCATCCATTTTGAGTCTGATTTTTTTTGTGTGTGGTGTAAGGAAATGGTCCACTTTCATTTTTCTGCATATGGCTGTCCAATTTTCCCAACAAGATTTGTTGAAGAGACTGTCTTTTTTCTGTAGGACATTCTTTCCTGCTTTGTTGAAGATTTGTTGACCGTAGACTTGAGGGTCCATTTCTGGGCTCTCTATTCTGTTCCATTGATCTATGTGTCTGTTTTTTTGTGCCAGTACCATACTGTCTTGGTGATTACAGCTTTGTAATAGAGCTTGAAGTCTGGAATTATAATTCCACCAACTTTGGTTTTCTTTTTCAACATTCGTCTGGCTATCGGGGGTCTTTTCTGGTTCCATGTAAATTTTACAATTATTTGTTCCATTTCTTTGAACAAAATTGATGGTATTTTGATAGGGATTGCATTAAATATATAGATTGCTTTAGGTAGCATAGATACTTTCATAATATTTGTTCTTCCAATCCATGAGCATGGAATGTTTTTCCATTTCTGTGTGTCTTCCTCAATTTCTTTCATGAGTACTTTCTAGTTTTCTGAGTACAGATTCTTTGGCTCTTTGGTTAGGTTTATTCCTATGTATTTTATGGTTTTGGGTGGATTGTAAATGGGATCGACTCCTTAATTTCTCATTCTTCTGTCTTGCTGTTGATGTATAGAAATGCAACTGATTTCTGTGCATTTATTTTATATCGTCACATCTTACTGAATTCCTCTATGAGTGCTAGCAGTTTTGGAGTGGAGTCTTTTGGGTTTTCCACATAAAGTATCATATCACCTGCAAAGAGTGGGAGTCGGACTTCTTCCTTGCTGATTCGGATGCCTTTTATTTCTTTTTTGTTGTCTGATTGCTGAGGCTAGGACTTCTAGTACTTTGTTGAATAGCAGTGGTGATAGTGGACATCCTTGCCATGTTACTGACCTTAGGGGAAAAGCTCTCAGTTTTTCCCCATTGAGAATGAAACTTGCTATGGGTTTTTCATAGATGGCTTTGATGATATTGAGGTATGTACCCTCTATCTCAACACTTTGAAGAGTTTTGATCAAGAAAGGATGCTGTACTTTGTCAAATGCTTTTTCAGCATCTATTGAGAGTATCATATGGTTCTTACTCTTTCATTAACGTATTGTATCCACTGATTGATTTGTGGATGTTGAACCAACCTTGCAGCCCGGGAATAAATCCCACTTCATCGTGGTGAATAATCCTTTTTTTTTTTTTTTTTAAGATTTTATTTATTTGACAGAGAGAGAGAGATCACAAGTAGGCGGAGAGGCAGGCAGAGAGAGAGAGAGAGAGGAGGAAGCAGGCTCCCCACTGAGCAGAGAGCCCGATACGGGGCTCGATCCGAGGACCCTGGGATCATGACCTGAGCTGAAGGCAGAGGCTTTAACCCACTGAGCCACCCAGGTGCCCCATGAATAATCCTTTTAAGGTACTGTTGGATCCTATTGGCTAGTATTTGTTGAGAATTTTTGCAGCCATGTTCATCAAGGATATTTGTCTATAATTCTCCTTTTTGACGGGGTCTTTGTCTGGTTTTGGGATCAAGGTAATGCTGGCCTCATAAAATGAGTTTGGGAGTTTTCCTTCCATTTCTATTTTTTGGAACAGTTTGAGGAGAATTGGAATTAATTCTTCTTTAAAATTTGGTAGAATTCCCCTTGGAAGCCATCTGGCCCTGGGCTCTTGTTTGTTGGGAGATTTTTGATGACTGCTTCAATCTCCTTACTGGTGATGGGTCTGTTCAGATTTTCTATTTCTTCCTGGATCAGTTGTGGTAGTTTATATGTCTCTAGGAATGCATCTCTTTCTTCCAGATTGTCAAATTCGCTGGTATATAGTTGCTCATAATATGTTCTTATAATTGTTTGTATTTCTTTGGTGTTGGTTGTGATCTCTCCTCTTTCATTTTCTTACATTAATGATTTTATTAATCTGGGTTCTTTCTCTTTTCTTTTTGATAAGTCTGGTTAGGGTTTTATCAATCTTATTAATTCTTTCAAAGAAATAACTCCTAGTTTCATTGATCTGTTCTACTGTTCTTTTGGTTTCTATTTCATTGATTTCTGTTCTGATCTTTATTATTTCTCTTCTCCTGCTGGGTTTAGGCTTTCTTTGCTATTCTTTCTCCAGCTCCTTTAGGTGGAGGGTTAGGTTGTGTACTTGAGACCTTTCTTGTTTCTTGAGAAAGGCTTGTATTGCTATATATTTTCCTCTCAGGACCACCTTTGCTGTGTCCCACAGATTTTGAACAGTTGCGTTTTCTTTCTCATTTGTTTCCAGGAATTTTTAAATTCTTCTTTAACTTCCTGGTTGACCCACTCATTCTTTAGTAGGATGCTCTCTAGCCTCCATGTATTTGAGTTCTTTCTGACTTTCCTCTTGTGATTGAATTCTAGTTTCAGAGCATTGTGGTCTGAAAATATGCGGGGAATGATCCCAATCTTTTGGTACCGGTTGAGACCTGATTTGTGACCCAGGATGTGATCTATTCTAGAGAATGTTCCATTTGCACTAGAGAAGAATGTTTATTCTGTTATTATGTGATGGAATGTTCTAAATATATCTGTGATGTCCATCTGGTCCAGTATATCATTTAATGCCTTCATTTCTTTGTTGATCTTTTACTTAGATGATCTGTCCATTTCAGTGAGGGTAATGTTAAAGTCCCCTACTATTATTGTATTATTGTTGACGTTTTTCTTTGATTTTGTTAGTAATTGGTTTATATAATTGGCTGCTCCCACGTTAAGGGTATAGATATTTAAAATTGTTAGATCTTCTCGTTGGACAGACCCTTTGAGTATGATACAGTGTCCTTCCTCATCTCTTATTATAGTTTTTGGCTTAAAATATAATTTATCTGGTATAAAGATTGCCACCCCACCTTTCTTTTGATGCCTATTAGCATGTTAAATTATTTTCCACCCCCTCACTTTAAATATGGAGGTGTCTTTGGTTCTAAAGTGAGTTTCTTGTAAATAGCATATCAATGGGTCTTGTTTTTTTGTTTTGTTTTGTTTTGTTTTGTTTTTAATCCATTCTGACACCTGGTGTCTTTTGATTGGAGCATTTAGCCCATTTACATTCAGGGTAACTATTGAAATATATGAATTTAGTGCCATTGTATTGCCTGTAAGGTGACTGTTACTGTATATTGTCTCTGTTCCTTTCTGGTCTGTTACTTTTAGGTTCTCTCTTTGCCCAGAGGACCCCTTTCAATATTTCCTGTAGGGCTGGTTTGGTGTTTGCAAATTCTTTTAGTTTTTGATTGTCCTGGAAGCTTTTTAACTATCCTTCTATTTTCAATGACAGCCTAAGTGGATATAGTACTCTGGGCTGCATATTTTTCTCATTTAGTGTTCTGAATATATCATGCCAGTCCTTTCTGGCCTGCCAGGTCTCTGTGAATAGGTCTGCAGCCAATCTAATATTTCTAATGTTGCATGTTATAAACCTCTTGTCCTGAGCTGCTTTAAGTATTTTCTCTTTGTCACTGAGACTTGTAAGTTTTATTATTAGATGATGG